GGGGGGGCGAGGGTCTGTGTGGAAATCAAAGCAAGCACAGATACTTGGAGATTATATTAAACTTTTCCAAAAGGCAGAAATACTCTGTTTTACCGACCAAGCATCACAAATCTGCAAGCTAGCAGAACACAGTTTTGGAAAGCATGACAACAAACTGGTTACCTGATGAATTTCATTATGCATCTCAAAGGATGAGAGATCTAAATTTTTTGAGAGCTCTTCTTAGAAATTGCACTGCAAACATTCAAATAGCACTCACTGAATCTCACTTCTTTGTCCACTTCAGGTAACTGCACACTTTTCTGGCCCTTATTAAACACTACAGCGTCAGACAATTTCACTGGCAGAGTTGTTCTTCAGCATTTTATTTGCATGACTGAAGCAAATCAACTAAAATAAAGCTTCCTACAGTAAACACTTGGTATAAAAAACGTTTCAGAGGTATCTTTTTGGAGAAAAAGATGATTCAACAACTCTTGTTTAGCAGGAAAGGGCTAGGAAAGAGCTCTGTATTAGGAAGAATTTATAGCTATATGAGAACAGAATAAGCACTTCAGTTCATTACAAGACATTTGCATATTTGCAGTATTCATAAGACCAGACACACTAGTTATTCTGGGGTTACACTACTTAATCAACACACAAAGCCAGCATTAGAAGTGAACCAAAAGGTGCTTATTGCAACAGAACAACACGCTAGCATTGATCCTGGTACAAACAAAATCAACTGGTAAAGAACATAATCAATAAAGTTACTAACACTTTTACAATTGGCTAGTATTTCTTCAGTTCTGAAGAGCTGAATTTTGCACTAATTTGAATCCTATGTTAGATCAAGAGTGAACAATGTCAGAACTATGAAGAGTTAATCAACAATTCTTTTACTTCATTAAAATCTGAAAATACTCCGGATTCTTTTCTACCACTGCACTTTTTTTACCACAGGTTCCCCAAACCTTATGGTGAAGCAGTCCCTGACTGAGACTTAATAACCAACTGTCTACCAGCAATGGAAGTATATGATTGCTCTGTGCATCAAAGTCAGCAGTTACTGCTTTTAGAAGAGTTTGTCAGTCCTAGCCTCAATAAACTGGCCCAAAATGATGAAATAGAAGTGATAAAAACATTTCCTGTAGAACAAATTAAATACTCAATACTCAAAGACTCAACAGTTTCATCAGGGTTTAGCTGTTGCACTGAAACATAGCTATTAACAGTACACTGACCATGATAAGTTCTTTAGAAACAGACAGAATTTTGCATTCTCAATTTTGAAGGGTCAACTGTAAAGAGATAAGTAGCTGTGAATCTGTTTGCTGTATGGATCAGTATGCCTCTGTATCTTGAGTACTTTGAAGACTAAAAGTCAAGACACAGAACATTCTTAGCTCCCTCACCTATCTTAAGATCACAGTTCCCGATATTTACCTTTTCCCCCTATTAAATACTAATTAAAGTATTTACAGTATCAGAAATTACAACTCTCACGTAGTTTTTGATAGTAGGGTTCTTGCAATGAATAAAGTTCCAAACGGACAGCAAGCTATCCATCCCCCAAATGCCACATTATTATGTGACATTTTGCTTTATGCTTTATCTGTCTTTGAAAAAGCAAGATAAGGGAAATTTACAAACACCCCCTCTTCCATGCCAAACAGAAGATGGATACTTATATTCGGGGGGGGGCGGGAAATTAAGTAAGAAAGTAATCACCCTGAAATATTCTAAAATATATTTTCTTTAAATACGTATTGGATGGTTTTCATTAAAATTATGTTCTACATTATTATTCCAAGAGGCACACAGTAATATCGTTAAGTTCATTGCTAAAGAAAGTAGGATCACCTATAGCAGTAAGCATGAAAGACGTACACCATGTACAGTTGTTGGTAATCCTGTTATGCTTGGCAAAACGTGAATAGCATCTTATTTTTAAACATGGCACACTTCTATTTCACTCTTTTCACAGAAAACAAAAATAATTGTTACATACAGGGCACAAGGGAGGACAAGCCATCTAAAGAAACAAATGATAAAACAGGGCTTCAAAATGAGGAAGATGAAAGAGCCAAAAGAAGTAAAGTTTTGCTTTGTGCTATAGAATCTTTATATTCAGAGGCAGAACGGCAGATGACATTTGGGACAAGCCATTAAAATAGAGTTACTTTCAAATCATGTGCCTGTCTGTTTTTGCAACATTATGATTTGGGGATTTCTCTCCTTGTTTAAATCAGATACTAAGGTTTATACAGGTAACAGTTTGGGTGCAGCTAACTGTCTTGCATGCATATCAAAGTACTATCACCCTTAAAGCATTTCTGACAGAGGATAAAATACGAGAGATTAGCAGAATAATCCATATTAGGAACCCATCAGACACACCATTAGTTAAATCATGCCCTATATACAAAAATCGGGCTATTACACTTGCAGATCACCTGTCA